ATTCGTACCTGTATCGAATGGAAGAGCAAGGCGATGGTCGGCGCTTGGCATGCACGAGAGGGTTGTAAAACAATGATCTAACACGTACGACCCGTCCTAGATCCGACAAGGACTAACTATTAGATCCGACACAATCATGTCACATTTCATACAATGGTCAAGTGACCAACTCCTCCTCTTATCCTCGTTTGCATGTCGTAGGTATTGCATGGTTATTGGATTTTTATGCCGCTATGCTATGTGATTTTCTTTGAGGAGGACAATTTGCATACGAGATCTTGGTGAGTTGTTAAGCGGATTTTGTACGAGAAAGACCCAAATGTAGCCCTGTTATAACTTCTACTGGTTATCCAATTTTTGAGTATGAGTTGATCCATTAAGATTGAAAGTTCAATATCCTTTAATCTTCAAATTCACTTTTATGAGTCTAACTCCACATTGTCAATACCTATAACTATTACAACCTATGATCATAACGATAATATCCGTCATGTAGTAATAAGTATAATAGTTATATTATGCATTCCTCTCTAAGCAGAGGTGAAAGTTAATTTTCCTTAGAGCAATTGTAGCAAATTTCCTCAATGAAAAATTACTTCCGCAAATTGGGTATAAGAATCACCTGCAATTTAAATAATAGCCAAGGAAATAATGCAAGGGCAAAAATAATTACAAAATAGATGCTTGCAATATTTAAAGGATATTTGTATTCATTGCTTATTCTAGCAGTCACACCTTATTTTAAACGAAGAGTTCGAGGAAGACCATTGTTGTTTTTACCACAACATTAAATTTATGCAGGTACAATACAAACATCGGTGTATATGTTGACCAGTTTTTAGAACAACAATCGGCAAAACATGTTCAAGTAAATTACTTGGTGGCCCAGTGACCCGTTATGGCAATTGAATAAATCGAAAGCAATACCAGCTATTTTAGAAGTCAGGAGAAAACAATACAGTGCTTTTCACAGTTGTGAACATAGGACACAATTATTTCTTTTTGTATTGATTTAATAATTTTAATAATATAGTAATTTTTCCTGGAAGTAATTTGCTAAAATTCCTCGTTAGTTTTAAATAATTAGCCTAATCAATAGGAATTGAAATTTAGCCACTCTGCCCATAGTTCTGAACTTTGATAATTTTTTATTGATTTTATGATATTTTAGGATGTTCGTTAATATTAGGAGCTTTGTCATCATACATAATCTTATAAAAATTGTCATTTTTTTAAAAGAAACGACTCGGCTGATCATCTCGTGAAACTAACCGCGCAACCTGTACTACACATTTCATCAGCGAAATCAAATTGCCAAAATTTACTTCTTATACAATTTTCTAAGAAATGCAAATCTGATTACATTTGCAATTTTAGCCAAAACTGAGCGAAATGCGTTTCTTAAGTTTAACATGAATATTATATTAGTATACCTATCTGACATATCTGAAATGAATGTTTTATCATATTTATGTATCTTTTATTGATTTAATAGCATTCTGTGACGATTATACGCATAAATTTAAATAAAAGCATCTGTGAATCATTCATCATTCATTATCATTTTTCAATTTGAACAAAAAGTATATGGGAATGACTTAGCTTTACCGTTGCCAAAGTTTAATTATTCATTAGATTATAATTTATTGTTTAATTTTTGCAAATTAGCACTTTCACTTCTCTGTAGAACTCTCTCTGTTAAACGAAAAACAAATTTATTCTAAAAGGCCATTTTTCTTATTAAACGATAAAATGCAGATTTCTTACAACTTTGTAAATGATACTCATTGAAACAATTCTATTTTAAAATGAAAAATAATTGAATTTGAAAAATATTAATATACCAATGAATAAACAAAATAAATAATTTTGCTAGATATAAAAAATACATCATTTGATCAGCAGAAGCGCCATATTAAATTGTACTAATAGTAATATTAATTGATTCATGATATTAAAATTTATTTTTGATATTAATAGTGAGTTAATAGTGGTAATAGTGATTTATTTATTATATTGAATCAAAATTTGTATAAGAAAATAATCACTAATTTAAACTTTTTGTTCCAAACCGCAGTAATCACATTCATTACTCAAGTCATCAGTGTCAATGCCAATAATGTGAACATGGAGTTTATAAATACTATAAATTAATATTAATAAAAAAATACTATCTATATAACAATAACATAAATTTAACTTTGGTATTAATATAAAACGTTTTATTTTTAACTCAGGGTTGAGCAATAGGTCATTAGTGAAATTGTCCGACGCCAACAAATTACTTTTGAATAGAATGTTTTCTATTTCACGTATATCCAATGCATTTATATACAGATTGGTACTTTTCCCAGATAAAAAATATGATGGTACTTTTGACACAAATTATAAATAAATTGATAACGTAGACTAGCACAAACTAGGCCCGAAAACTCGAGTACCAAGTGGTAGGATACTAAATTTCTACTTGAGGTTAAAGATCTCAAATATGATTTTAAGTGAAAATTACTTTTAGTGGGCATTGCTGCAGCCAACGCCAACTCTTACGTCAACATCATGAAATATGAATATTTAATGTATATATTCTACCCAACAAAAGAAGAGTGGTTGACCGCTGGGTTGCACTGTCCAGAAAACTACTAGAATAAAGAATTCCAGCTCATAGAACCCGTAGTTCTACGCAAAATCATAGAAATTCCCGCTGAATTAGTGGTTTTACATTAAAATTTTTCATAGTAAATTCGGTTCTGTTAATTGACCGTATACCAGTTAACTGTTCGTACTTTGTAATTAGAAATAAGTATGCCCACGGGGCTCAAGTATGAATGGTGCAGTCTCATTGTCGGGCTCATATTGTTGACAAATGGATCCATGTCATTAATTGTCGTGTGACGATTCGCACATTAGTTATTAAAAGTGAACTAGCTTTCATTTTTCTTCATTCATGTCTTATAATGATTAACGCACTCTATTTTGCATATTATTGCTGAAGATTACTCATAATAATAGTCATAACACTGCCGATAGAAGAGATGGGATAGAGAATTCTGGAAGCGTCTATCATTTATATTGTTTAAAATTTTTGTCTAATTTCGGCCTTTTTACATCTTTGATCATACATGTTAAAATCAATTACTTCTGCAACCACAGTACCTCAAATTAATAGAAAAAAATTGTTCCCAAACCGCAACATGTATTCCTTAATACTAAGAAACAGATGATTCAATAACGACATTGACGCTTCTGAAGAAAACAAAATAAAGCCAAAAGTGTATTTCATAATTCTTGACTTATTAAATAGACTAGAGCAAATATCGTTCGTTTATTTTGCGAAGGTTTTCCATTTGTCAAGGTTGATTGACCGCCAAATGTAGTTAGATCAATTTAGTCGAATTGCGAATTTTACTTTGTTACAGAAATTGTATTTATGTTTGAATAACAAACTATTACAAGTTGTTTTGAGTTGTCTAATTAGATATACAGTTATCTCATTAAGTATATTTGTTTTCATGGAAAGAAATCTCTGTGAATGTCAATCAGATCTTTATGGATAATGTTAAAAAAATATAGATACTTAAAATAATGTTCATTATTCACTTAATTTGATTAGCAAATCGTAATCCAATACTATTATTTTTTGAATAATTTTAGAAAATTTTGTCAAAATTAAAAAATAATGAACTAGGTTAATTTCACCAAAAGTAAGAAGTTAAAAGGTGGACATAGAAACAACTCCAAATTTTAATACTATGAGTGAAATTTTTTTAAATATTCAATAAAGAAATTTTCTGTCATGTTTCGGCTTACTTTCTTCGGCAATGAGTAAATTCAAGTTATGAAATTAAAAATCACTAATTAATAAAATGTTATACAACAGTAAAGTATAATAAAATTTTGTATACTGTTTATGATAAAATTGAACTATACAAATGTTTAAGAAAAAGTTATAAACAATGCATTTATAAAAAAAAGTTGAGAATATTAATAGAACACAACATATTGATAAAACATTACAAGTATTCAATGAAACACAGTTATAAATCTCTATTGTTCTATTTTTATGGGTTAATAGATTTGCCATATAATTTTATTTCAGACTATTCTGCAATCGTTCTTCATAATTCAAGAGTAAAAAAATATTCTTCATAATTCAGGAGTAGCATCACATTATTTGGTCATTCATCATATAACTCTATATGTTTACTAAAATAATAAACTAAATTATTTTACCCAAAAGTAGGAACTTAAAAAACATTGATTAAAAATAAGTAATAAAATTAAACTTCAGTAAATATTATGAAGTTAGATGAATTAATTTTTTTTGTACTGTTCATGTTAACACGAAACTTTGAAAACTGGCTTTTAAGAAGTGGTAATATAGCTAATAAATATTGGAACTACTACAATAGCAACAAATTGTAAAATTGAACATAAGAACAAAGAACGAAATGATATTACAAATAATTACCAGCATTGAACCCAAGGTTCAGATTGGTTATAAGAAATAAATGAAAAAAAAAAATTAAAAAAATTTAAAAAAATCTACCAAAATTTATTTTTTTGGTGTAGTTTGCAAAATTTGCGGTATCATTTCACTATTCGTTTCAATTGAAATCATTCTTCATAATTCAGTTATTTATGAAAAAACAACCTAAAATCTCTATTTCTTCCTTCTTACGTCCAAGTGTTAACCAACAAACAAAACAAACCTTATCTAAGAGCACAATTAAAATAAAGCATATAGAAATTCTTCAGCATTGAAAAAATGTCGAAAAACACATTAGCGTACGCATCTTTCATTGAGGCCTCTCCTGTCCCCACTGGCCGAAGAAGACCCGGGTCTAACAATCGGCCCCCCTCTTCGGAAGAAGAGCCTCGCGGGGCATATGACACTTGTTTATTCTTCAGGCGCTGTAGACACGCGCGGCACAAGGTCACGCATAGGTACTGCACCCACCTGAATCTATATAAACGGGCCTGGGTCGTTTTTTTTGTCAGTTTTACACCCGGACAATAACTGAGAAGGTACGTACTGATAAAGGACATACGAGGAAATTGATTCCGTGGACAGAAATTGAGACAAATAATGTTGTTTAGTGATGTTTTAAGTGATTATAATAGTTAGTTAGAGACGTGGAATTCGATGAAAATTAACGTAATGAGTGGTCTTGATTTATTTCAAATAAACGGATTTTTGTCATGTTTTGGTTGCCTAAGCTTCATAGCTCCAGAACATATTTCAAAACTTTTTTTTTACAATCTTGGAAACTCATCATAATTTAATTCCAAATTGCTTCGGTTTATAGAATTCCAGCAAGAACAGTCATCATAGTTGTAGAAAAAATTCATTCAATACATACGTTTATTGTTCAAATTTTGGAAACTCGTCATGATTTAATTTAAAATCAGTATACACGACATAGTAACCAAGTTATTTTGATTAAATATCTCAATATTAATAATATTAAATTTTGAGACAGTTGCTATTTTGGTATACTTTTAGTAGTAGTGGTAGTAGAGCAATTTCAATACAAACGTTTTGAATTCAAATTTTGGAAACTTTTGGACATAGTGACCAAGTTATTTTGTTTGAATATCTCAATATCAATAATATTAATTTTTGAGGCCATTCCTATTTTGGCATGCTTTTTTATGTTCACATGCAAATGATATGAATAACAAGTTCAATTATAGCTTGATATTTAATTATTATTACTTATTTATTACCTTGTAGGGAAACTGATCACCATGAAATTCGCAGTAGCAATTTTGGGCCTGGCCCTGTGTGGTTTGGCATCAGCTCAGTTCCAGAATGGACGCATCTTAGAACCACCAGTACCTGCACTCTGCGCCCAAAGGACGATACACGAACGTAGCCCAGACGGTATGTGAAAAAAATATGGAAAAACCATCATTTTAATGATAAACTATTAAAAAATTATAATCATGTGTTTACCAGTGTACTGAATTATTTTATTTAATTAAAATTGAAAAAAGAAACATTAATTAAAATCAAAACAAGATTGTTAGTTATTATAATAATACTGATATAGTTATCTATATTGAAAATAATATTATGCAGTCAAGAAAATAGTCATAAAAACATTAGTATGAAAGTATGGTCATTTATTAAAAGAATTCATATAGAGTGAACTTTTATCTTTTTATTATTTATTACCTGTTAATTATTCCAGGCAAAGGATACTTCTTCTCGTGGCGTGACCCACAATTGGCTGGTGTTGAGGAAGATTGGTTGGGCGTCCGCAACTTCTGTCGCCAACGTTGCATGGACAGTGTCAGTTTAGAAACCAGTGCCGAAAATGAATGGATCAAACAAAGAATTGTCAATGGAA